CCAGGGGGCCTGGCGGGATTCATCAGGAGGATGAAGGAGCCAGCGGATGGTACGGCAGGACCCTGCTTGATGAGCTGCCAGAGGTCTCGGGAGTCTGGGCAGGTCCCTGCTGACTGGAAGCTCGCCAGCGTTATTTCGGTTTACAAGAAGTGAGGGGAAGACCCTCACTACTGTAGGGAACTACAGAGCTCTTAGTCCAGCCTCAGTTCCTGGAAAAATCATGAAGAAGATCATACCGAGTATAATTGAAAGGCACTTACAGAATAATGCAGTCATCATCAGGCACTGCCAACGTGGGTTCAGACAGGGAAGTCCTGTTTAACCAATTTGATATCCTTCTACAATAAGTTCACCTGCCTTGTGGATGAAGGGAAGGCAGGGGATGTAGTTCTGGATTTTAGTAAGGCTTTGGATACTGTCCCTCACAGCACCCTTCTGGACAAGCTGTCCAGCAGTGGGATGAGCAGGTTCATGGCGCGCTGGGTGAGGAACCGGCTGAAGGGCGGAGCTCAAAGGGCTGTAGTGAAAGAGGCTACATCTGGCTGGCGACCAGTCACCAGCGGTGTTCCTCAGGGCTCCGTCCTAGGGCCGGTTCTGGTCCATGTATGTATCAGTGACCTGGATGCAGGAGTGGAATGCAGCTTTAGCAAGTCTGCCGACGATACCAAACGGGGAGGTCCTGTTGACTCTGTTGAGGGACAAGTGGCCTTCCAGAGGGCTCTGGATAGATGGGAGCACTGGGCAATGGTTAATGGGGTGAAATTCAACAACTCCAAGTGCTGGATTTTGTGCCTAGGATGGGGTAAGGCCAGGTACAGGTATCGATGGGGAGAGGAGTGGCTGGAGAGCAGCCTTGCAGGAAGAGCTCTGGGGGTGCTGCTCGGCAGCAGGCTCAGGACAGGTCAGCACCATCCCATCCCAGGGTGTCTCCGGCACAGCATGAGCAGCCAGCCGAGGGAGGGGATTGTCCCGCTGCTTTCCACGCTGGTGCGGCCTCACCTCAAGTGCTGGGTGCAGTTCTGGGCCCCACAAATGGAGAAGGATGTGAAGGTCCTTGAACGTGCCCGGAGGAGGCCAATAAAGCTGGTGACAGGGCTGGAGTGAATGTTCTGCGAGGAGTGGCCAAGGGCTCTGGGCTTGCCTGGTTTGGACAGAAGGAGGCTGAGGGGAGACCTCATTGCTCCTTGCAGCTTCCTGAGAAGGGGACGCGGAGAGGGAGGTGCTGAGCTCTCCTCCCCGGGATCCAGCGACAGGACGCCCAGGAACAGCTCAGAGCTGCGCCGGGGAGGTTTGGACTGGACACCAGGAAGTGTTTCTGTACCGAGAGGGGGTCAGACCCTGGGACAGAGGGGGTCGATGCTCCAGACCTGTCGGTGTCCCAGAGGCATCTGGACAGTGCCCTCAGCAACGTGCTGGAACTTCTGGTCAGCCCCGAAGTGCTCGGGCTGGTGGACCAGATGGTCATTGTCAGTCCCTTCCAGCTGAAATAGCCTGTTCTGTTCCACCCGCTGTATGCCAGGCTCAACAGTCAGCAAGCCCACAGGCAGACTCTGGTCACAGCAGATGACATTTTCAGAACTGTTACGCATAACCCCCTCCCCAAGTATGAACCTGACCAGTTTTGATCATTTTAAGATTTCTGCTACTCCTGACAGAAAATGCTTTTAAAAAACCCCACCTACACTCAGGTGTATCCTATCACAGGAGCTTTTCTAGTGGCTGTGAGCAAATCATCTTATATTCTCACCTGGGACATAGAAGATGAAGGCTGTTTGCTCCCAGTCAGAGAAAGCTGGGAACCAACTTCCAGCCTTCTGCACCAGCAGGACTCCCCGAGGCAGCCATTTCCATCTCCTTTCTGTGCTCGGGGAATGCGAGTTCTCTTCACAGAATCACAGAATGGTGAGGGGTGGAAGGGACCTCTGTGGGTCATCTAGTTCAACTCCCCTGCCAAAGCAGGGTCACCTACAGCAGGCTGCACAGGACCTTGTCCAGGCGGGTCTTGAATATCTCCAGAGGAGACTCCACAACCCCTCTGAGCAGCCTGTGCCAGGGCTCCATCACCCTCAGAGGGAAGAAGTTCTTCCTTGTGTTCAGCTGGAACTTCCTCTGCTTCAGATTGTGCCCATTGCCCCTTGTTCTCTTTGCACGCTCATTCTGAAATACTACAAAATCGGTAACCTACAGCACCTACTTTGTCTGGGGGAGAAACCAAAGCAGCTTCACAATGACTTCCAAAGCACGACGCACCTGGTCCTCTGGTCATCGCTCCTCCGCACCCCCCTGCAGCATGGCCTTCCACACGACATGTGGGTGCAACAGGCAGGGTGAGCTACATCAGCACAGTGCCCTGACACCCTGCCCTCCCCGCAGCACCTTCCTCCCTTTCCCCCACACACATACGTCAAAAGAGCTCACAAATTTGGGGACGCTGGATTTCCCTTTCCCCACAAATCGGTTAATACAGTGCGATGAAAAGAACAAGTGCTTCCGATTGATCCAATCGATAGTTTTATTTCCACGTTAAAAGAACTGCTTGCCTACCAGCAGAGTCCAACATAGATGGGACAGACAGACGTGAATACAATTAAATACAGGAAAAATTGAACTATATACAACAAGACATACATTTACATAATGAAAAAATCTTTATATTATCTATCATCACTTCTTGCCAATGTGAAACATCACTGGAACTCAAATATTTTGGGGTTTATGGTTGTGGGTGTTCCCCCTAAAAAAACAAACCTGCGTAACACAATTTAGTATTTTTCCATGTACTGAGAGCTGAAAATTCATTTTGAGATGCACAAAATTTGTGGTACTTCACAGGGTACACAAAAGCTAAAAACTTCTTTTGTTAAATATTTTATAGTTTGTGGTATCTAAATTTCAGGTAGATCTGTTTATTGACACAAACTATAAAGCGATATTTACATGGAGGGAGCTGTGCAAAGTCATTTTAGGCTGTGGCTGGCATACCGGGAAAGACGCAGGGGCCCGGGAGTCACCCTCATCCCCCGGGGTAACCCCTCACACCCTCCCCTGATCACCCCTCTCATGCAGTAGCCACCCAAGGGAAACTGGCCACAATTATTTTATTCTTTGTTAAGCTGCTGGGAGCAAGCTATTTCTGCAGCCCTTAAATATCCGGACAGTGCTGGGCTGCTTCTCTCCATGCAATGAATGCTTGAAGCCATCTTTCGCACTGTTTCATCGTTTCTACAGCCAGCTGGTGTTGTCACTGCACTGTCCTACGGCTGCTGTAGTCTTTGCTTGTAGTTTATATTACCAGTGGGAGCACACAGTAACTACAGGTGTGTAACTTCTCAGAAACTGCATATTCCCGCTACCAGGGCTGAACCAACGCCGTTCCAAACCAGGCTGGGGGAGGGACCGCGCTTCTTCAGCTAGCCTTAATGGCACAGACTCTCTACATCCAGAAACCTCCCTAAGCATCCTAATAAAACCCCTTTGCTTCTGGGTTGCAATCTTCAATGCAGAACTTGAGCCAGCTAATTAGAAGAGCTGCTTTAATTCAAGGCTTCCTACAGATCCCTAGAGTGGGTTAGCAAAGACACAGCAGACACCAACGTGAAATAAATGCATTCTACAACTGTGCTGCACCAGAGCACAGAACGGTGCTTCTAACAGTCTATCGCCATCAACCAACTGCCAAAAGGTGCCCGAGTTTAATTTGGGAATTTTTTTTTTCCTAGACTGAATTTCAACCTTCATAGATGCAGCTACTGCATATGTCGATCATAAAATACTGATTTTAATCATCTCATCTGCATTTAATTACTATAATGCTGTTTGTATCAGCTCCTCTGGGATTCCACATCATCTTGCAGATTTTGACTGTAACAGATTTAAAGCAGACATTTATAACTCAGTCCTGGAAACGAAAAAAGTGACTGGCTAACAGTGCATAAACCTGTGTATTGCTGTCATGTATCTGACATCTCTTCTTTTTTAAAAATGCACACTGAAAGCAAGCTGGACAACCCAGAGGGCAAAGGGAGATGAAACTTCTCTCTTGAAAAGCTGCCAAGTCAGGCTTGCTACCAAACATCTTTTGAATCCTCTGCTTCCTAAACCCACGGCAATACAACTACTGAATTTTTAATCCTACGCACCGGGCTGAGACCAGCCAGGTGTCAGCATCACAGCTGAGGAGAACAGCGAAGGGAACGTGCTGAACTAAGCATTGCGCTGCGCACACTTGATACAGTAAGAAGATCTGTAGGTGGTTTGGTATTCAGCTGACGAGAGGAAAGCATACAATTTGTTCCTTCTTCATCACTAGCAAGCCTAGAGACGACTGCATTCCCCTTCGTTGTCAGGAGAGCGCGCTAGAGAACAGCGGTAAACGCAGGAGACCATTTCATTCCGTTAGAAAATAAATTCTGTGTTGCAATTCAAACACAGGAATTCTTGGCAGTTAAAACATTTTCACATTGTACAAGCTGCAATTTGCCTACATACTTCAGATCTCATGGAGTTCATAAAGACATCTACGAGTTCAAGCCTTCTGCTTAAAACACCTGATTGCTGGTTAACAGCAGGTTATTTTATTGCATTACTCTGGCTGTCTATTTAATATTGATTTATGATAAAACAAGCCATCGTTCCAGCACTTAGTCTACCTGGGCAAGGATGGTACAGCAGAAAGCAACAGAGTCATGAGCTTCTTACAGGATAAAAACAAAAGTGGAATGACACGGCAAATTGCTCCTCTGTATTTCGAAAGGTAACTATTCCCTATCTGTATGCGAAGGCGGGAATAATTTAAAGAGTAAGAAATAATAAAATATTCAGACCCCTCTTATTTAAGCATTACAAAAGTAGAAGGAAATGGATTAGCTGCTTCCTTTTGGATATAGGCTGCTGGTCTAGTTTAGAGACGGTCACAAAGTCAACATCCTAACCAGGGACATAACAAGAAGCAGCTTGGACCATAAAAAAGCTGTCTATATATGTACAAGTTACTCTCCCCCCCAAAAAATCAGTTTTATTTGGATGGCTGCACAACCTCCTGCTCTTTAAATCTTCAGAGCACTGAAAACATGACATTTCCCCCCAAAATCCAGTTGAGTCTGTCCTGAGAAATACAAGTACTCATATATAAATGGGATGATATTGTCTGTGAGTGAGTTTCTTCCTGCAGGTCGGGCAAGAGTTGGCATTCCTAAGGGAATCACGGAGGCACTGACTGCAGAAGACATGGCCGCATTTGGTGGACACAATCAGTCGTCCGCTTTGCACAATCTGGAAGAAAAGAAACCACAACAGGTATCTGGAATAAAGAACTCAGCTCTGCTGGCCTATCGGCACCACCTGGAATCAGCACATTACTGCTTTCCTAACAGGGAACCCAAGGATCATTCAGTGCCACCTTGAAAAGTCTTTCTCCCTCTACGTACACCACTAAGACATGATTCTGAGCTACGAGCTCGTTCCACCTTCAGACCAAGGGCTGCCCTTCAAGCCAGCTGTCTGCAGCGTCTCACATAACACAGCAGAATTGCCCAGCTCACTCTCTGCCCCTTCTCTCTCCGACAAAAAAGAAACGATGACAACACATGGATCCTTACCTCTGAGTAGCCATCCATGCAAATCGGGCAGCTGACGGTACCAGACGGCCTTGTGGGAGAGAGAACAAAACCAGAAAGAACACGCACCCGTTAATTTCACCGTGCACCAAGGGTTACCGACACATAAAACGCCACGTCATCGCCTGCCTGCACACAGGCTAGCCAGGAGGCATTGCATCTGAAGAGCCCTGCCTACCTCTGACTCTCAGTTTGTTGTGTTTAAGCAGCAATTTGGGTCTCCCTTACCTGCAGGAAGCAGGACCTTGGTTCTCATCAGCAGGAGGATGCAGTTAGGCACCCTGCTCTATTCTTACAAGTAGCAGCAGTCTCTGGCACTGTGCAGCATACATATGGCAGTATTAATCTTCAACAGGTCATAAATATAGAGTTTTGTAACAACACCATCTACCTGTCCTTTGGAAAGTATTTGTTCTAGAAGTCAAAGTGGTTGTCAGAAATTAAAATATCCCTTATTCTAATTTAGTAACATCCCAGCCCAGTAACATCTTCGTACCAAGAACTCCCGCCTTATAAAATGTAGGGCAGGAACACACCAATGAGAGGAAACAGTGAAAAACAAGTTTCTAGTTCAGAGAAGGACAGACTGACTCAGTGGCTGTTCCCAAGCTGTGGTTACAAATGTATCTCTCTGCCCTCAGCCTCCAGGAGAGCTGTATCGCACATGCACTTACCAACAGTCATACCTACTCTGCGTAAGCAATGTGCCCTAAGTGCTGAATAATATTCTCTATCAGAAAGAGTTTCCTGCCACTTTCATTTACAGATTAATCTCTATTTTAAACAATTACAGTAAGCTGCTTTCATAAGTCTTTACCGTAAACACTTGGCTTTATTATGTCACTGCCCATGCTAAGGAACAGTTTGTAATTTATTAATTAAACACAAATAGAAAGCATGAGATATCCTTTATCCTGTAATCTTAAATTCAAGCAGTAAGCACTACTAATGTCTACCCCTAGTTTCACATACATAATTTACCTCCATTCATTCTCCTATTTTTACTAAAATTCTTTATGCCGCAGCTGTAACACCACCTCAGTAATTAACTAAAATTGATGACAACCTTCATATCAGCAAGAGTAGTCCAACACTACAGATTAACATTGTAGATGGCTCTGTGGCAATCTCCAGCATCAGCACCTTTATGTAAACATTAAATGCTGTATAGCACCGAGTTGTTTTAGCCTTACCTAAACAGCAGGAAGGCACATTCTTTAACAGAGAATCTTGAGACTGAAGGAACATCAATTTTCTATTAACTAATTAGTGGGATTTTTTCACATACATACCAAAATTAAAAGAAATCTACAAATGCATTGGCAAAATGCAGTATGTTTTAGAATACTGTAAGCCCTTTAGGTGGCATATTTAAGACTTGACACCCAAAATTTCCATACTCAAGTTCTCTCCTACAATGCCTTCCAGTAATCTAAAAGGCTCAAAGCATAGCAGTGTTATTAAAGCCTGTATTCCCCCCCCCTTTACAAAATTTTTACACCACAGTTCTCACGTTCTTCCTCTTCCCTAGTCACATGGACATCTGATTTCTTTTAGTCTAACACATTGCACCTTTCTTAGTATAATGGAGTATTCCCACAGCAGCAGTTTACTGCCTCTCCACAGCATGGGGCCTTTACTGTGCAGGCACCTGACCTGAACAGCGAGATCGCTACCTCACGTGTAAATGGATCAGAGCTCCATGGCATACAACATGGGACAGAGCAAAAACAGGCCATAACAGTACTACCTCCACAAGCACCCTGCAAGTGTACCTTAGGAAGAACAGTTACCGCTCAGAGAGAAAAAGGCAGTCAATTGGCGCAGTGGGTAAAAAAGCAGTGAATGAACATGACTTTTTACTGGAATTTGCCAGGCTGCTGCCTGCTGGTCTCGTGATACCAAGCCTCATCTACACCAGTGAAAATACTTCCATACCTAACATCACTACTAGAGCTTTGCATGAAAGGTAAGTGCAATACACCATGAGCTATGGCCCGAGACTAATCCTCCTTCCTTGCCATATCCTCACGTTCATCTTTAAGGCTGTATGTGAACTAGTACATTAGTCTTGGGCTGGCTTTTAATCCTAAAGTGCAAACGGTATCATTTAGCTGTCATGCAAAACGCGATTTGTACTCCTTGAAAGAGGGAACTAACCAGAACAAGCTAAGGCTTGAAAGATAAGCCAGGCTACAGCAATATAACTTAGTCCTGCATAAGAAAAGCAACATTCAAAATCTGGTAGGTCGTAAGGCATACATACTTTGAACTTGCAGTTTCATCTTCCAGTGGTCCCAGTTCTCGAGACACTTTGTCTGTCACATACACGTCACTATCTCTTGTTTCATCTTCATCATCGCTGCTCAGAACGCAGCTGTCCGACTGTCGCTGGCTTCTTAGTCTGAGATTTCTCCTTTGCCGTTGATTTTCTGTAATTTAATTTTGGTAAGTTAGACACATTATAATATATATAGATATATCTCCCTGCAACTATCCTTGAAATGCATGATTATACATAGTCTGTAATGGTTCATCTTTTAAATGGACCATATTCAGCTGGGCTGAAAGCAACCTTAAACAAACAAGCTTCCTAAACACTAAGGCTGAACATTTCCAGACATTGTGAATCTTCTGTTACAGATAGACACAAAACTGCTCTGTTCAGCTTACAGTCAGCTAAAACGTGATCTTAAAGATTCTCTGTGTTCTAGGTTTCATACAGTTACACTACCTGTGAATAAGTCTCCCCTACGCAGGGAAGATATCTCTCCAGGTTCTTCCTAACAGAGAACATTAGCATACTACGCTCAGGAATTGCGACAATTGCTGTGTGATAGGAGGCAGAGAGGACTGAAGTTCAGCTTCCAAGGCACACGGCGAGGTAGCGCATACACAACAACAAGGTCTGCTAAAACACAGAGTGCACTTTGTTCAGGAGGTTTCAGAAGTGATGGAAGAGATGCTTAAATCTAAGTATGTAAATTACAGAGCTGCTGTGGGTTCTCACTGCTCTACCCAGGCACAATGATAAAGCATTCCATGCTTTGCCTGTGTTAAATAAAACCTCCCCACTCAAAGGCAGTTTCTATAAAATGAGTCTTTTTAAGAACAGTACTTGGACATTGTAAAAATACTTTAAGCAGTGTCTCCTTAGACATTTTTCATCATCTTCCTCCTGAGTTACGGTAACTTCAAAATGGAGTTATATTGCCCAAGGTAAAAGGAGATTAAAAAAATTGCCTGGTCTGTAACATCCGAAGGTTAAAGAACTGCTGTTTGCTTTTTAGCAATTAGAAATCGCATGCAATAATTCTCTCTGCAACTCCAGTGTATATGTAACAACAACCAAGCACTAATCAGTTAAAATTACATAAATAGCTGCATAAGTATTCAGCTACAACTTTTATTGCAAGTATTTTTTTCCTGATCTTCATTCAGAGCATCGAACAGATTACACCCTAAATAAGCAGCTAACAACATACTAACACATCTCAGAAATTCTACTCAGAACAAGGTCTGGAGGGTGTAAAGTATTAACTTCTTGATACCTATAACTATTGTAACACCTAAAGTAGAAAAAAAAATCCACACTTGTTAATATTCCTTGGTACTAAATTTGACGCATCAGACTAGATAATGACAGTGAATACTATGACCACAAATAACATCCTTTAGTTCCTTCAGTGCAATACAGGCTGAACAAGCCTTTTGACATTTTCTTATTCAAAGCAGATATTCCAGTGCTAATTAAAATTATTATCAACTTAAGGCTTACAGAACATCTGTATTTGGAAAATAAGAAAATGTATTTTGAGCTGCCTTGATGCATTTTATTTCAGATACTTTCCACAAGCTCCAATGGCAACTATCAAACACAGACTGGATCCATTCTCCAAGACACTGGTCAGGTACTTTAGCACTGTCCTTTGCCTTTTGGTAAATGCAGTTTCAATCCATGCTGCTCAAGTTCGTTGCAAAAGAAAAAAGTTTATGGCAATTCCATTATCAATTGTAGAACATCAACTCACCTTCAACAATCTTGCATCAATATATATGGGAAGGGAGAGAAAAGAAAAATACAATTAGACTTTGGTGCACACCCCCAAAGTCACATACAAACCTCAGCTAAGCTAAGCAATTACAACAAAACAAGCTAAGAACGGTAGGATATCACTCTTATTTTAATTATGTTAAACATAGTAGCAAATTAGCTGCTGCTCTGAAAACAAGTGGTTGCTTCTGGTTCTGCTCACACTACTGTAAAGGGATATAAATGTAGGCAGCTTACGAACCATCTGAGCACCCTCCTCCCTGCTCCCCAGTTTCAGCACCCTAATTTGATTTAGGCTGGAGGAGATTCTTTCCCTCTTTCTCCCTCAAACAGGCAAATTCAGGTGAGACATCCATGAACACTTCATATTAGGTTAACAGCTGCTGAAGAAAAAAAACCCAAACCTGCCATTGCATTTGGTAGAGCCAGAGCTGGGGCAATGCAGACTACGCTGTAAAGTTCCAGACCTTTCCTTTGCAAAGGCTCAGGAGCAATTCCAGCAGAAGACACCCCCACGCTATTCCTGCTGCTTGTTTCTGGTTCCGCACGGCAGCAGTGGCATCCCAAAGCTGAGGTTACAGACTACACTGTGGACTGAACCGAATACTATTCTACCTTTAAAAATAGCAGTAATATGAAAAAGTGGATTTTAAGACTTCTTGGAATAATGAACTGACCTAGTTTGTACCATGGTCAGCTACAGTTGTGCTTGGCAGCTGTGACAGGAGAACCTCTAACCGATGTTACAGCTAAACACTTCATATATGTGAAGTCAAAGACTAACTGCTATCTCCTTCACTTTTTATTTACATCATTGGCCTATACCTGTGATATATCTGGAATAACTTCACCTTTAAATTGTATCTCCTCATGTTACATTATCCATGACTGATGTCTATTGTCCCCAAGTTCTGGAGCAAAAAGCTATTCTAGATTACCCTCTAACTGTACACAAGTGCACCTCCGGAGCAGCTTCGGTGTTGACCTGTAACTCGTGGCTTTCATGCACTGAACAAGACAACCTTTAACTTAAAACTCAGCCTTAAAGCCAGATTCTATCAGGGAGCACAACACAAAACTAATTTGACCACAAGATATAGATAACTGTGCCATTCACTACTTACCACAACAGAATCATTGTGAGTTAGATCAACGACTACAGGTTCAGAAGATTCACATGTGAGATCTACTACTTCTTCACCAGCTTCAAAACACAATGTTAGAATCAAGGTCAGGGATCGCAGAGGAATAAAATTGCCTGCCACTTGTACCAGGCTGATGTATGATTCAGCCCGGTCCCTCCTCCCTTCAGGAACGTATCCAACATTTCACTCAAGCTTTGCCCTCAACAGTCCACAAAGAGCATCACTGCTGCTGTCTTCTGCAAGTTGCAGTGCAAGAGGAACAGCAGCTGAGCTCCTCCCACAGTCCTGCTGTACAACAGCAGCTTGTGGAAGCACACAACAACAGCTTAGTCACCTAACATAGGAGAACAAAATGCGAATCCTACAGGACGTAATAATTTTACAGCTCTATGCTGTAAATGTTCCCTTTAGGGACGGGGCACAACTAATGACAAACTTTTAATTATCTCCTTAAAACTCAAGGGTTCCCAAACTTAGTTTGCCATTATCTGCAGCCGCAGGTGCAGTGACTCCCAGCTCAGACGACTAGACATTCAGATCTTTGAGCAGCGTTTGAGCAGCTCTCTTAGACAGCTCAGCCATCACCAGTGGTGAATGTATCGCACCCCAGTAACAAGCTACAACAGTTATCAGTAGGCTTGTTGTATAGATGCCATACTACACTCTTGCTAAAATCAGAGATTTCCCTTCCTCCCCAGTAAAGGGCCAAGAAACTGGCAAAAATGCACTTTAAGAGGGATCCCAACCCTCCAGAAGCAGTTTATGTTCTCACCATGCTAAAAAGAAAGCTTACCACTTTCTTCAAGTTCTATCGGCTCTGCTTCTGAAGCCATTTCTGCAGTGAAAGCCATTAGCCTGTTCCTTTTCCGAGCTTGCCTAGAATTAACTGCTCCTCCACGGCGCTTTCGTTGAGTCTAATAGAGAACAAAGCCTTAGCATTTTCTTTTGGAGTAACATTAACGTGGCCCTTATCTTGGCAGCACCAACGAAAGCGCCCAGGGATACACAAAACACGCCCCGGAATGGCTGTAATACGCATCAAGTGGTGACATGGGTCATTCCTACATGGACGCATCACATCAAGGGAAAGGCATCACCCCAGACCTCTTACCACTTGAGTCACAAAAAAAAAAACCCCGCATCATGATGGCTTGCAAGTGAGAAGACTAGTGCACAATTATACCAGATGTTAGCTTCCAGCCAGCCCCTGGAATCAGTCTGACCTACTCACAGTATAAGCATTTCTGAACTATTGCTAGCACCTGAAGAGATTAAAAATCTTAACTATCACAGAACATGAAGTTACACGAAGATTTAATATGCTTATGTTCCAGTGTATTTACTGCAAACTTTTACAAACATTTATAGAGGTACCATAAACAACACATTTTTAAGAATCAGGTTTCCACTGAGGAGTAAAATACTTACTGTGCTCATGGCGTTTCTTGATCTAAAACCACAGAAAAAGCAAGAGGTACAAATACCAAACAATTAATTGCCAGGAAGCTACAAGTATCAATTCCTTATATTCCTTCAGGTAGCACACTGTTAAAAAGTCCAGATTTCTCAAGGTCTGAGAACAATGCTCTTCCAAAGCTGTAAGAAAAGAAGAGAGAACATTACCTGTCTGTAATGCCTGTTCTCTTAAATGGACCCCTCTCCACGCTTCCTGTTCCCAAGTCACCAATTTCTGTCCAAAGCTGGAGCGGAAGTCCCAGGGTCTGGTATTTGAGCCCCAGACACCCACAGCTGGGCCTGCAGCCTCAGCCATTCTGACCCATTTCCTAACCTAAACACCAGAATGAGCCAGTTTGTTAGTTAACTAGAAAAATACTGAGGGATCTCAATTACTGAAAGCAACTGATCAACTTTTGTGGCCATAAACCACTAGGAATTGTGTCATAAGCAGCCATCTTCAGAGAACAGAAAACTCCAGACAAGCAGTTCTCTTCTCCAACCCATCTCCAGATTTCAACAGGTGGGAGCTGAAACAGTTTGAGAGGAACCTAAAGCAAGAGGAGCAGAAAAATTTCGGTCTCGAAATACTCATGGACCTGCAAGAGAATAGAAGTGTACAGTAGCTGCTCTGTGCTAACTGCAGGTGCGCATGTCCCTATAGCCACCAGACAGCGAACTGCTAAGTGGGAAGAGGTACAAGGCAAGCACGAAGGTGGTTCCGAGTAGCTGACATGGTTCTGAAGTTCACATTTTCAAGCTTGCTCATGGTACAATTATGCTGTATCCAACACACAATGAGGAGCTGGGCGCAGGAGACCCACGGAGGGATCAGGAATAAACCAATTACATAAAACAAGAATTGCAGAAATGCCTTCCCAATACTGACCTTGATCTATGCTGCAAAGACCAGCACACAGGCTGTTAAACCATTCTCAGATCAAGAAACACCAAGGTCATGCAGTGGGATGGAACGGCACTGGTAGTCAATCATAACCTTGAGTTAAAGGAAGCCGGACAGATTTTTTTTTTTCTCTTTAACCTCTCTGTATCACTTCAATCACTTACCTTCAGAGACCCATTAACACTGAATTGTGGCATTATTAAAACAAAGCATGCTTGAGAAAAATCCTTATACTATATTTGGTACTTTTACTAAGCCCAAAGATATATATATGCGCACAGTTTTTAGCACACAAGATGCCACTCATCTATTTTCTCCCATTTTTTCATTTGAAAACTGGCACTGGACTGCAAAAGCTAAAATGAAAGTCAACGTGCCTTTTTTTCCCCCCCACTTAGATTACTTGTTATATGCCAGACTTCGCAATCAGCGAGCCCACAGGCAGATTCTGGTCACAAGCAGATGAAATTCTCAGAAGTCTTATGCGTAACTCCCTCTCTCAGTATAAACCGAATCATATTTGACAGCTTTAACATTTTTTAAGATGTTTTTTAAAAATCTAAACTTGCATTTATAGTTTTTCAAGAGTTTTTCTCACAAAGGTAAGCAATAGCCCTATGTTCTCAGCTGGGATGTTGAAAACTAAGGCTCAGAGTTTGCAGTTGGAGAAAGCTGTGAAATGACTTTCAGCCTCCTGCTTCCTCAGTACAGGACTTGCCCACGCCACCATTTTCATAACATTCTGTGCCCAGGTAACACGAGTTTTCTTCGTACAGTTCACCCCACTGTTCTTCAGGTCTAGATTTCATTTCACCTGTTAAAGAAGAAAGCTGCTCTGTCGGCCTTACCAACATTCTTGGGAAGATCCTATTTTACTCACTTCACTGAGTTTTTGGAATAACACACAAGCTTTTAAAACAAGACCACAGATAATTCTGCACTCATACAAAACAAACCAGACAGACTGTTCTGTGAGTACATTTTCTAGGTGCTATAGGAGTTCCCCTCTCCATATGATTATTATTCATAGGCCTGGAGCTTTTCAGAGACAAGGGGAAGAAGGAGGTGAAGCAAGGAGGATACTCAGCACGAGGGATGGGGGAAAGGGAGAGAATCATCCCTAAAGCTAGCACATCTGCTCTTTCAAACTAGATGCTCAAAGACAAGCTATCGTATTTTCATCTACCAGCTACAACTGAAACTGAAAATAACTTACGCAAAGCAGTTTTCCACACACAGGAGGAGGATGAACAAGACTGAGCAACATAGGAAGTCTATTAAAAAGTTATACCATTAGATTCTTCGTAAGTTTATTTAATCAAGAAAGCCAAGAGACATTTTCCTTGATTCTCCTCAGATACAGAATTGGAAAAAATACTTGGGACATTAAAAAGCTAGGAAATGGTGGTACACACATCTGAGGATTATAAAGAAATAAGCTTTATATAAGCTTACTTTAAATTACAAGTTAGAATTGTTTTTAAATAGAACCTGTTAGAGCAATCTGATACACTGACATATCTGCACTGCTGAAAGACAGCAAAAACCAAGTCTGATTTATTCACAGGACAGCAATTTTGGATGAAAAACACCCAGAAGTTTTAATAATACTCAGTGCGTTTTGTATTTAACACTGAATACAACCCAGTGCAATGGTATGTTGCTTGAGTATCTTTAGAAAGGGTTAAAAAACACAGGGGGAGGAAGCACCTGGAATTACTCCAAATATGAAGTGCTGCACAGATTCTCTTTGACCACAAGTGGCTTAAGTGCCAAAGAAGGAAAAAAAAAACCCTACTCGCCCCCAGCAAACAAAAAACAACCAAACTTAAAAATGAAAATTAGGGTGAAAAGAAAAACAAAAGTAATACACAATAGAAGACCTGTCATGCTAAGACCACCTCATCCATGTTAAATACTCACATACTTCTTCACAGAAATACCAAGGAACAGAATATTTATAGGATTACTACTACATGTCTCAGAGGATCTAACATCAGACCTCAAAGGCAACACACAATAGAGCCACTTCTTGAACTAAGTGACAAAGAGCACCACTGCTATTTAGATGATTTAATTTTTCAGAACATTACATCAGCAGCAGGCTTTCTTTATCCTTAATACAGAGAGTATACATAAGGCACAAATGTTCTAGCTGCTAATGGCTCAAATCTTAACTTCTTCTGAAGAAAGTTGGTAATGGATACGCACAGGGAAGTTCTTCACTGTAAAACCACCTTAAAATAAATCATCATAGGCAGGTTCATCAGTGTCAACATGACCCAGCTCAGGAGAGTTGCATTTATAAAGAAAATCAGACTGCTGCAATTTATTAAGACTATGGGAGGAGTCTCATAGAATCCTAGAATGGTTTATGTTGGAAAAGACCTTATAGATCATCTCATTCCAACCCCCCTGCCACGGGCAGGGACACCTTCCACCAGACCAGGTTGCTCAAAGCCCCATCCCACCCAGCCTTGCACACTTCCAGGGAGGGGGCAGCCACAGCTTCTCTGGGCAGCCTGTGCCAGGGCCTCATCACCCTCACTGCAAAAAATTTCTTCCTTGTATCCAGCCTAAATCTACCCCCCCTCAGTTTAAAACCATTACCCCTTGTCCTATCACAACAGGCCCTGCTAAAAAGCCTGTCTTCATCTTTCTTACAAGCCCCCTTCAAGTACAGAAAGGCCGCAATAAGGTCTCCCCAACAGCTTTCTCTTCTCCAGGCTGAACAGCCCCAGCTCTCCCAGCCTTTCCTCACAGCAGAGGTGCTCCAGCCCTCGGATCATTGCTGTGGCCTCCTCTGGCCCCGCTCCAACAGGTCCAGGTCTGTCCTGTGCTGAGGGCTCCAGAGCTGGACACAGGACTCCCGGGGGGGTCTCACCAGAGTGGAGCAGTGGGGTAGAATCCCCTCCCTCGACCTGCTGGCCACGCTGCTGGGGATGCAGCCCAGGAGACAGTAACATTTTTTTCTTGTAATAACAAACCTCTTCTGTGGGGCTACAGATATCCACATGTTATTGGCTTACTTGAGGAATTTCATTGAAAGTTAATTACCCAAACTGTAAGAATGGATAGCAAAAAAAATAGCAAAGCTTACTTTCTTGAATACACCACAGATCAAGCTAGCAGTGCACAAGAACAGAGCTAAACAAAACAAATTTTGCACATTCAGAGACACACTCATCAAGAGGAATTCCTTAAAGATTTTCAAAACCTCAGGAGCACTCAATTTAATAATATGATTTGTCATACAGGACTGGATAGCCCAGATTAAATAAGGTCTATATGCTCCTCCTCCAGCAGTCACCACAAAACTCAGCACCAAGATTCCAAAGACTGCATAATACAGAGTTACTCCATCAGCCTCCCCACCCTCAACCCACAAGTATCAAGTAACTCCAGATGAAGCTGTTAGCGAACTCATATATTACAACTGTACCAAGAAGCATTTAGGCATCAATTCAAAATTCTAGAATTCATATTTAAAAAAAAAGGCAAAAAAATCCACTTTTTAATGTGGAAAACTTAGCAAGCCAATAAACACTTTTAACTTTTACAGACCTCTTATTGCACCACGGTAGGATGCTACAGTACCAAGAAAAGCCACTCCCCCTTCCCCTCATATGCAGAACTCTGCACATGCAGTTATTGTTCCTGTCATTTAGCTCCCCCAAGGGCTTAAGCAGTGTTGTCCTCATAACAACAAAGTTCAAGGTTTATTCTAAATCACTAGCATTCTAACGACTATATCCACCAACTTCTTTCTGTACAAGTACACACTTGAGAAGAATAAAGGTAAAGCCATTTAAATTAAGAATGTTTACACTAGGAGTAAAACAATATTGATTCCTATAATCATCATTTAAGTCTCCTGTTAAATTTTTTCCTCAAAAAAAGTTAACATTCTCATGGAGTTCAAGTTGACCTAATTTAACATGTTTGAATTACGATTCAAAAAAAGAAAAGGATTCTCTAGACAACATAAACTGAAAACTTCTCTTAAACCACTCTGAAAACAAAGCCTCTGTCTCCCATATGCTTAGCATGAATTGAGGCAAATGGGCTTAAGCAAGAAGTGGACATTTTTACCACATCTGACTAACGGAAACAAGACTTTGCTTCACAATCATCTTAACCATTACAAATACTCTAAGGTAACTCCTTGAAGGAAGCAATAATATCAGGGCAAATGTTTGGTGTGTGCAAGGAACAGGTAACACAAACAGCACTGGATTTGTCAAAACATGCT